ATATTGTTAAGAGTTGCTAACCATACATCTTCTTATTCACAAAACTGACATAGTGGTATCTCTTTTTCTAGATTAATTACACTTAGATCGTCTAGGCAGTCATTTGATTTTTGATAAGATAATTTTTTGGAGCTGGTTGATGGATGGCAGTTGTCGTAAAGGTTTTGTTTTGCTCAATAATTGCTTATTTATTATTTCTTTTGCATAGGATTTTTTATTTCTAGTGAAAACATCACCTTTATAACTACCTGATAGATAGATAGATAGATAGATAGATAGATAGATAGATAGATAGATAGATAGATAGATAGATAGATGACAATAGCATTGAGAGGAATTTTTTGCCTGATATTTTATATTTAATATTTTTTTATCTATGATGACTTGGCCCCATATATTTCAACAGCGACTCCTTCGTTTAGTTTTGAATCATGACCCTAGTAAATCCCAATATGCCTATCATAAAACAAAACGGAATCAAATTGCTCTTATTAGATATTATTATTAGATACGTTTTTCCTTTTAAAATTTTTACTATTTGCAATTATCCATCTTATCTCAATAATGGCAAGATTTCTTTTGGGAATCTAAATGGCCCTAAAATGTCCTGCTAGACTCAAGAGACGAATAAATCGTTTCTTTTTCTACATTTCTTGCCATCTCCTTATCCGAAGGATATTATGTGTCATTAATCGCTGATTTTTTGAATGACTGTAATTGATCTGTGTTTGTAGTTTTGTATGTCCTTAATAAAGTATTATTTCTCTCTGAAAAAGCACGAAAAAACAGGATTACCCTTGAGCGCTTTTATTAGCTAGATAAACGTCTGTAGAGTTACCCTTTCATCGAGGAGGTCACAATCCTGGCGTATCGCCGTGGCGCGTCGGATAAATCTGAGGATCTAAGGATTCGAGGATTCGTGGATGCAAGGACGAGGAGAGCACTTTCGCGCTCACTCTCTGGCAAAAAGAAGAGCACGACCTGGCGTTCGTTTCATAAGAGATTAACTAACTGCGAGAACGACCTCAAACACTGTCAATTTCGGTAGAACGCCGTATTGATGTAAATTACTTTGAATGTCACCTTTCTATGGCCGTGATGTAAAATGTTTACGTCGGTTTTATCCGGCCTTTAATTTTTTTCTTCGTTTTTTCGGTTTAAACGTTATTGGAATTATTAGGTTATTTTGATTTAAGGATTAGAATATTGTTTTTGTATCATTATGAAAGTTTGCAGAACGCAGTAGTTTAATATCTAAAATATTTGTTATACTAGAGTTTCCCGAACAAAAGCAAATAAATAATATACATTCTCGACTGAAAAGAAGCTTTGATCAGCAAACGATTGTGAATTTTGTTGATGTTCCTACACAGCCGCGGATCTAGGAGGGGCAAGCCGGACCCCGTGCCCCGGGCGGCAAATTCAACGGGCGGCAAATAGTACAATAATTTTTTTTTAATAAATAGGGTTTTGAAATCAATTCATAGATAATCAAAATTTATTTGAATTCTATCTGTGCAAAACAGGTCAAGTGTTTATAGGGTCTTATTACCTGCTTACTCCATAATCGGATAAGGTTTCAATTGCCCAAAACGTTGAGTGATTTTAAAACAAGTATTGTACACCAAATGCAATTTTGCGGAACGAAACGCGTATCGTTGAGTTTTGTAAAGAATGAGGTTTATAAAGTCATTACACTACATATTTTTCACACTGTGTTCAACATATAAAATTAATGTTTTATAGGTTGAAATTATGAGCGCGCCAAGAAAAAACTATCGGGAGCGGAATATAGAAAAAAGGCCAAAGATAGTCCTTCAGGGAAAACAATATGCGGAAAAGATGAAAAAGTGGCTCAGCGGAGGCGGGGTCCGTCAGTACCTGGCACTGCTTGCGAATATGTTCAACTAGAGGATATTTCTTGCACTTTGCACGATCCTGATGATCAAAATTTATCACCTTCATCGTCTAGCCAAACTGCGAGAGTGCAAGAACAATTTGAAAGAATTGAGACAGAATACAAAGAATCTGAATCAGCTCACTTGGATTCAAATGAATGGAAAACCTAAATTAATTTGACAGACCCGGGCAATTGGCCAGATATTGAAAAAATGACCGATCAGCAACGATCTTTCTTTACTAGTCAAGCTGTGTTATTAGCAGTAAGTCATCCAGAAAACATTGAATTTAAATCAAAGGAACGCGATGGTAGACATTTAACATCTGCTATGTGGTACAAAACATTAACGGTTCCATGACAAAACAGAACTTGACAAAACAGAACAGGACAAAACAGAACATGACAAAACAGAACTTGACAAAACAGAACACAGAAAAAACAGAACACGGACAAAACAGAACACAGACAAAACAGAACAAGGACAAAAAAGAACACAGACATAACAGAACACAGACAAAACAGAACATATCAACGGTCTACTGAGAGAAGTTAAAATTCAAACTTTATTTGTAGATTTTTAAAACAAGTAAGTCTTATTGATAGCAAAAGTAAATCAATGAAGTTTGTACAAAAAATAATCTAACACTGTTAACTATTTATCATACAACTGATTTAGGGTAATGTTACAATATATTTAATCAGGAAATAGTATCAATCATTAAAAACAATATCAGAGTAAAGTAACTATAATTAGACTTAAGGCAATAAATCTCTTGTGTACCAAGGAGATGAGTATTCAAAATTTAGAGAAAACGAAAGCCAGGTGATTACGTGGAGATGTAGAGTTTATTTCTCTACAAAATGCAAAGCTTTCTTAAAAACGCAGAAAGAAATTATTATTAGAGACGTACCACATCACTGCCATGATTCAAACCCACAGAAAATACAGGCAAATAAGCTAAGGGCCAAGATGAAAGAAGATATGAAGTCAGTGGGGGCCACGAAATGTAATAGAGAATATTTTAACTGATGCGGATAACAATGTTTTAGAACAATTACCAAAACCATCTTCTCTTACGAGAACCCTCACTCGACATAAACAAGGTACTTATATTCCAAATCCAACAACGGTCGAATTTAATATACCAGAACATTACATGGATGTAATTTTACATGATACAGGGGCCGATGATCCTGATAGAATTCTGGCAATAGGGAATGAAGAGTTGGTTAAAGAATTAAAAAAAGACGTTATTTTTGGAGATGGAACTTTTGATAAAGCACCAAACGTTTTCTATCAACTATTTACATGGCACGCTAAGGTTGGAAATTAATTTCCACCCTGCATTTATTTCCTTTTACAAAAGAAAAATATTGAAACATACAGCCGAATGTTTACTATTTTATGTGAATTGGTACTGGATTTATCACCAGACCAGATTCTTGTAGATTTCGAAAAAGCTTGTATGTCTGCTTCTCGAGTTGTTTTCCCACAGGCAGAAGTAAAAGGTTGTTATTTCCACCTTACCCAAAGCGTAATTAGGAAAATTAACAGTGTTGGCTTAAAACAAGTATACGAATCTGATGTTAACCTAAAGCTGAAACTTAAATATCTACCTGCTGTTTCCTTTGTTCCAGTAGCAGATGTAAGAATTATATTTAACCAACTAGCTGCGACATTTCCGGATGAGGATGGATATAATGAGGTTCTTACTTATTTTTTTTTCAACGCACATAGAAGGTGCTGCAGGAAGATTGTCACAATTTTCTATTAGAATTTGGAATCATCATGAAGCTGCTGCTGAGAAATGACCGAAAACTACAAAATGCTGCGAAGGTTTTTATAATGCCTTAAATTCAATCTTTCACTGCAGTCATCCCAGCGTTTGGAATTTATTAGATGGTTTAAGATGAGATATAGCTTACCAGCGGCTTTTGTTAGCTAATACTAATGTAGGTCGCTTGGAAACGAAAAATAAAAAATATGAAACACTTATTGTTTTGTCAAGTTCTGTTTTGTCATGTTCTGTTTTGTCAAGTTCTGTTCTGTCTGATCACCACATTAACCAATGACGAAAAGCTTAAAAGATATTGGCTTGTATATTCTAAAATAAAAAATTCAATTTTTTGTGCATGCTGCAAGATTTTTCAGAAATCTTCCTCTTCCGGTACATGTGCATTGTGTACTACAGGATTTATTAATTGGAAAAAAGCTTATGAGAGATTAACCGAGCACGAGGCATCTCAAATGCACAAAGAGGGTATGGTTAAGTAAAAAACTCGAGTTCAACAAATTAAATCATGCCAGGGTATTGATCAAGATATTGAGGGAGTAATTCAAACCGAAAAAGAAAAATGGAGACAGATCCTGCATATAGTTATGGATGCTGTATTATATCTAGCAACAAACTGTCTTATTTTTCGTGGTTCCCATGAAACCCCTAGCGATCTCATCACACAATGTCCTCAGCCTGGTCAAGGAATTTTTTTGATTTTAATTTTGCTTCTTTCCAAACATAATTCAACTTTTAAGTTTCAATTAGAAAACTTAAAAAAGGGAGTATCATATTTGTCAAAAACAATACATAATGAAATTATTGACATAATGGCAAATACAGTCAGAAATAGCATTCTAAACGACATCAAAGAAGCCAAATACTATACAATAATGTTCGATTGCACTCCAGATGTGTCGCATAAAGAACAAATGAGCCAGGTCATTCGCTATGTAAAAAAAAACTAGTGATGCGTGTGAAACAAAAGAAAGCTTCATTGATTTTATAGAAGTTGCTAGAAAGACAGGAGAGCACATTTGTCAACATAATGGAAAAGTTGACAGTTGATGATTTAGATATTAGACAATGTCGTGGCCAATCTTATGATAATGGATCAAATATGGCTGGCACCTATAACGGAGTGCAAGCCAGGATTACAGAAAGGAATGAGCTGGCTGTGTTTGGCTCACTCCTTAAATTTTGTCGATGTCCATTCTGCCTCATCATGCCCGGAAGCAACAAATCTATTTGGATTAATTCAAAAAGTATTTTGCTGTTTTGTCGGCTCTACTACTCGATGGGATACTATGAACAAATTTCTTCAGTCAGACGAGATGGTCGGCAAAACATGTTGCTGTGAAAGCCCTCTTAAATAATTTGCCGGAAGTCGTGGAATCCTTAGAAGAACTTAAGCAAATTTCTGATGCTCCGGAAGCAAAGTACGAGGCAGGTAGTCTCTTAAATGCAATAAAGAATTTTAAATTTATATTGAACTTGACGATTTGGGTAAATATTCTCCGCGAAATCAATCTAGTGAATATTGGAATTCAAAAGCAAGATATAATTCTTGCGCGTTCTGTCTCTTTAATGGATGGCCTGATGAAAACTTTACAAAAAATGAGAGAAAATTCAATTGAATATTGGATAGAAGAGGCTAAAGAAGTTGCTGGAAAAATTGTCGTCGAAACTATTCTGCCAAATAAACGAATTCCGAGATGCAAAAAACAATTTGACAAGATGTGTGATGACGAATCACGAACACTTCAACCAGTTCAACTTTTTTCTTAAGCAACAATGATGGTATTTGATAGAATCTTATTAGAAATTAAAAAGAGGGTTGATAGTGTTACCACGTTAAATTCGAGTTTCGCATTTCTAAATGGTACTGAAATTTTGTATGTCAAATGAAGAACTGCAAAAGCATGGAGCAGATCTGGGACGAAAATACGAGCGAGATTTAAACGCGGTTGAATTCTGCCAGGAACTCTACGTTTTTAAAGAACAAGGTCCACTTTTATTTGGAGATATAAAAAATGTTAGCCCTTTCAATCTCTTGCAACAGATTTATACGCATGATTTTCAGGATGCCTTTCCCAATATTTGTATTGCTCTAAGAATTTACTGTACGCTTACTTCATCCGCAAGCTACGAGCGAAGTTTTAGCAAACTTAAACTTATCAAAAATTATCTACGATCTTCGATGAGCCATGTCATATTAGCAATAGAAAATCAAATTGCTCATCAAATTAATTATGATAAGGCCATAGATTTGTTTGCAGAACAAAAGGCTCGAAGAGTAAAATTATAATTTTAATGTGTAATATTATAATAATTTTAACCTCATTTTTTATTCAGACCCTATCCTGTCCTAACCTAATTAAAATATATGTCCGATTCCGACACATCCTGTTATTTTTCGAAAAAATATTGGCTTAACTGAGAAAGAGCAGCGGTATACCGGTAATTAATAATAATACTAATAATAATAATAATTTATTTGCAGTATTACAGGTAAATTTGCATTAAATACATAAATTTTATCGAACAAAATAGTATAATACTACAAAAAGGGAATAGTAGACAGCATAGCTGATATTAATTGCTATCCCTAATAAAGAAAAGAAAAATATTAAAATAATAAAATACAACGAATAAAGTGTGGCACAATCGAGACAAAAATATAAATACACATTTTATAAATGTAATATTACATTTTATTATAATATCTAATGGTTGTTTTGACTAGATATTTTCTGACATCAAGAGATGTTTATACTTTTGCTTAAACATATTTGTCGAAAGATGTTTGAGTTTAGGAGGAACCAGGTTATATAGTTTAAATATCATATAAGAGAATGAACCTTGAAATTTGGAGGTACGATGGAGAGGTGGAGATATATGCCCTCTAAACCTTGTATGCACATTATGCACATCACTTCGAAATGTAATTTTATTATAGAGATAAGGAGGCGACTTTAATGAAATGATCTTATGATACAATGTTACCATGTGTAAATTCCTTCTAGTTTCCATATTTAACCAGTTAGTTTCAATTAGTTTGTGACTTATCCTTTCGTATTTTTTTATACCATATATGTAGCGAAGACAAGAATTTTGTACTCTTTGAATACGATTAATATCCACATAGTCAATACAAGGCCCGTAGACGACATCGCAGTAATTAAAATGACTGAGAACCACAGTATCACAAAGAAGTATTTTTATATTTTGATCTAAAACATGGCGATGCGGGTAAAGCATTTTCAAATTAGCGTAAGCCCTTTTTATACAATTATTTACATGGCTTTTAAATTTTAAGTCAGTATCAAGATGAAGACCCAGATTTTTGGCAACATCTACACAAGCCACCAAGACACCATCAATACTCACAGATAAATGTTCTGCTAGTTCTTTTTTATTTTTTCCAAAGACGAGTATTTGTGTTTTTGCGGGATTGATAGTTAGCTGATGTCTGTTAGAAAAATTTACGATTTTTATTAATTCTGAGTTAATCAGTTCATTAGTAAGAGCAACATTAAAATCAGACAAAGAAAACCTTATTTGCGTATCATCAGCATATATATATATATAAACTCTGCCATTGGTAAGAGCCGAACTAATATTAGTAGAGTAAATGCAAAACAAAATTGGTCCCAAAATAGAGCCCTGTGGCACACCGCAGGCAATATTTTTAATATCAGATCTACCGGCACTTGTTTCAACAAACTGTGAACGATCGGAAAGATAGTTTTTAATAAATTCAGTTGCTTTAACCGAAAAACCAACATAGTGAAGAATACTGAACAGAAGCTGATGGTTAATTGTATCAAAGGCTTTTGTATAATCTAGAAGTATTAAAACGTTTGTATACCCTTTGTCTATATCCCTAAAGATATCATCAGTGACCTCTAATAATGCTGAAGTACAGCTGTAGCCACGTCTGAAACCAGATTGGCTGATTGGTAAAATATTGTAATTGTTGATGTGAGACTCTATCTGATGTGGGGTTCTTTGGGGGAGGCCTATGCCTATCAGTGCCGGGTGGGGGCGGCATTCTTCATTTTTTGCCCCGCCTCAAAAATATTTAAGATCCGGGGCTGTTCCTACATAATAACGATATTTTCAAATGTTCCAACTTGAAGATCAACCGTTTAATTTGTTTATGGATACTTTATTTTGCCCTTTAAAAATATTATGACAAAACAGCTTTCTAATCGTTCAATTCGAATGACATTCTTCGTAAATTTGTTTTTACCACTGTTCCCACACCATGGCGCGATTTCCCTATTTAACGCTACACGCATGCTCTACACTTCTTTCGTCGAGCCTCGTAAATTTTCCAATCGAGTAATTAAAAGTGGTACCTATCGGACGCACAGGTGTGTACGCTTTCACCGTACTCGCTCGAGAGATAGAAAGAGAAAGAAAAGCGCACCACGACCACTCGTAAAATTGATTTTATTTCAGTGCTACCGATAAACACAAATTCCAATGGATCGACTCCACACGCTAATCGAGCTTATTACATTTCATACATTTATGACTGATTTAATCTTTAATATAGAGGGTCTTAAATTTTAATAGTTTATTTATTATTTATTTGCGGCTTAATGGAAAATGGAATTGTTAATTTCGTCTCGAGAGGTGCACCGGTTCTTGCGAAAGAACGCAAGATTTTCCAGTGGCGTACAGTCGAATATTCTATTGAAAGATTAAATAAAATTAATTCAGATTCTTTATATCGCACATTTGGAGAAACAATGACATAAGTGCGAATTTCTCATAATTTGAGGTAATTATACAGCAAAAGTCCTAAAACACAACTTTATCTGGGGAAACAGTCAGAATTTTAGTTAGATTCCTTTCCGGTAGATTACGGTTATGTCTCCGGTGCACTGACCCACATGTCCCACACTTCTGGTGCAGCAGAGTCGAAATAGTCAGTTGCGCCATTGTAGTTTCGATAGTGGTCCATTTGTCTGAAGCAATAGAAACTTAAATACATTTTGTGCAATTGTTTTTCCATATTTCCATATTTCCATATTTTCCAAATTTAGTTTTCATAAAATTGTAGATGCAATGATAGAAATGCAATTATGCCGTTGTAACTCCATTTGTTATTATTAAAAAAATAAAGTTTGTGCTTGATTTGAAAATTGTGCCTTTGTTGCTTTAATATACACGGTAAGTCAACAGTATTTTGACAAACTGCGGAAATTACTTCAAAATACTTAGATAACATTGGAGTTTTCAGTTGGACTGCACCTCTCTAGGCTAGTGCAAAATGGTCTCCTACCTTCATGCATTTAAAAACAAATACAATATGAAAGTAGCCATTATGCCTTGGAGCAGCATGGACTAAAATAAAACTCTAGACGTAAGTCAGTAATGTTGGGATGCCTCACTTTTTTATTATTTAGTTTAGGATTTACCATATTTAAAGTAAGTACTTTACGCACGCTAAACAGTGCGTAAAATCTTACTTTTTCACTTAGTGCGCAAAGTAAATTACTATATCTTTACACATTAAATATAAATTTTGATAGATTTTTGACAGATAACGTCAAAATGTCAGTTTACTTTACACACTTGTGTAAAGTAATTTACTTTACTTACTAAGTACGTAAAGTACAGGTTAATTTTTTTTATGCAACACGTGTGTAAAGTAAATTTTTTGGCTCGTGAAATATTCCCAATTACCTACGGCTCGTGTGAATAGTTTCTTACTTACCAAAAAAGTATAGCTTTACGTGCTATAATGACAGAATTGCTATTTAATTAGATTTTTTAGAATTTTTTAAAGAAAATTTTGGCAAAGATTCTTAAAACAACTTTAAATGGTATTGTATAGACTATACAAAAAAATTTAAATATGATAGCACATCTCGTCAAGCAGTAAACACTTTTGTTTCACTTTGCACAATTTTAAAATCTTTAAATGCTGATTCCCAAAATTTAGTACGTTTGCACTTACGTCAATGTTTCTCCAAAGGTGCGATATATAATATTCCGGTGTGCGTGTATTCGTAATTCTTCGCTTCCTAAACGGCTTGAATAACTTAATGAATTTTTTTTTGTACTTATGGGGGTCACCTTGATAGGTGGAGCTATTGTCGAGATAAAGAATTTTGACTTTCCCGTTTGTAAAGAGTCGTTTATTTTATATCTCAATATTATTAAATTCAATTTTTCTTTATGCAGATTAAAAAAAGTATATGAGCCATAGGGTGTAGGTACGCCGATATCTATTGATTGCAGGCGAATATTTATAACACGTAATCAAATCAAAGACCATGTACAATAAATATACTCGTCATAATTAATCTAAAAAAAACATTTAAAACCACTTTAAATTTCTTATAATTCAAATTTAATTTAAGATTCCTAAAATTCACTGTTTTATCTTTTTTTATGATTTGAACTCGGTTCGTTCTGGAAATTTGACACATTTCACTCCCTATAATATTAATTAATATGTAATCACTTCTACGCCTGCAGAATCTAACAATTTTCTACATTTTTTTTTTTTTTTTTTCGAATATAACCATCAACTACGGATTATATGGGGTGGTCTGCTAAATAACTCTTGTAGCAGTGCAAACGTGGATCTTTTAACTGAAAAAGAATAGGAATAATGTTCTCCTTGTTTTTCCTTTATGGAATGAATTGGCTTCCCCTTTAACGATCATTCTTTTTCTTAAAATACTCTGTTATTTAGTAAATCTACAGCTATTGCCATATCTCTGTTTTTAATTTTAAGTAGTACTCTAACAATACCAAAAAGATAT